AGTTGCAAAAATGAAAAGGGGAAAATAGAGAAAACTGGATTCTTGGTACAATGACCTTTGAAAGAGGTAAGTGGTTAAGCTTTCAGAGACACCAAACTTTACAATTCACCCCACCCTTTCAGCTCGAAAAATGGGGAAAAAAGAAGACTACTAAAATGGATATGCTTATGTTTTCAAATGAAATACTATGGTCAATATAAGGGCCCATGCACTGGCATGTATTGAGACATTATCACTGAAGAGCCAATCATGTGCTGTGTTATTTGTGGCATTATCACTGAATCATATTGTGGCATTATCACTGAAGAGCCAGTCATACGCTGGTGTAGGAAAAGTAATGCCGCGTTGTTTATTCTCTAGTTCAGTCGACATTATGTTTTGAGTATGTATGCTGGTATTGGCATGGAATGAAGGTTAGAAACTAGTTGTATATCTAGTTTCGAATTAAAGCAGTATATCTAGTTTCGAATTAAAGCAAACTTTGATTTTGAGCAAAGATATTTTATAAATATTATTCTGAGATATATAGTTTGTAATAATATCATTGTAGTTAAGTTTTAAGATTCATTTGTAATGTATATATCTGTTTGTGATACAGTTTCATACCAAAATAATGTGTATTGTTTCTTATTTTGATTCATTTTTAAATGGCACACACCAGCACATACTGTGGCATTGGGGTATTTGACTTCCAGTGCCAATCATGCTGTGGTGCTTAGCCATAAAATTCTATGGTTAAAAGCTTAGCAATCAGCATGATATACATAATCATCTTTTATTACTTCTTTTAAATCAGATTTCTTATAAGTAAGTAAGTTGGCATATGGGTATAATCTACTTCTATGCCAGAGCAATGACTATGAACATGACATTACTGGCAGCAAATGTGTTGGTGCATTTTTGTTTACAGAATATGGTTGTCCAGAGCAGGCATCATTTTTTTAGGCTAAAATTCTACATTTAAGGTTCTCAAACCACCATTGAACTGGATCATCAGAAACAGCACTTTGTCCATGTGCAGCAAAAATTATATGAGACATCCGATTAGCATTTTTTTTTTTTTTTCTTTTTTTAAAACAAAAGAGCATAGTGTGATGAAACTGATCTTTTGGATTCTCCATTCTTTTCATTATCTTGGAAAAAAAATTATGCAGCAACACATACTAGAATGATGCAACTTGAGCAGAAAAGACCATTTTTACACATCTGCTTCAAAGTCATTTTTTATCAGCAGTAAACAAGAGAAAAAACACTTTCATTTGGGAAACCCTGAAACTTTCTGTATGCTCCAGCGTGTATGTATACTGTGAACTTATGTTCCTTTTATTGAATTGTAATATGTTTTGATAACATACTTTACTTGCATTCCAGCAAGTGTCCAGGCATTAATACAGGGTGAGGCAGAACGTTTTGCTATTTTACACAATTCAATAAAAGAAAAAGGAATGCATATATATATATATATTTAATTCTTTAAACAGCATCAAGTACAACATGTAAAGTTTATGTTCACACTGTTTTAAAGATAATATCAGGCAGATGGCATCCAATATAGTCAACACACTGCATTAACGAATTCTGAAGTTTCGTTCAACTCTTTCCAGCACATCAGCAGGTATTTTGGAAAATGTTGCATTTTCTTATTTAAATTTGGCATTCTGGAGCGACAATTGCTTTGAAAAAAGGAGTGTAGGCAGAGTCAAGAAACCGGGCAGTGAAATTTTAGCTCATTTGGTTCATTTAGCATCATGGAGTAGTTGAAGTAGGAGCAGGTGTTTGCTATCAAGGCATACTTTTGTAACGGTCGCTCAGTCATCGCCACGCAACAATCATTCCATGCCCATTTCAATGTTGCACACCATGGTCATGTTCCTAGTTGGCAATCAATTGTTTCATGGGTAAACAACTTCAGGGAAACTGGTGATGTGAAGAAGAGGAAACCTAGGCTTCCATGAACAGAAGGGTTGCCACAAAACAGACATGGTAAGGCTTTCTGTTTTGCGATCCCCTAAGCGCTGTGTTTGGAAATGCGCTGCTGCTGTTGGGTGGTCCGCTTGATCTGTGAGGGGAATTCTTCATGAAGAACTGAAATTTCTTCCCTACAAATTGACTACAGTACAGAAATTTAATCCATATGATTTTATTGCTACAGAAAATTAAAGTACTTCTTGCAATGCCTGACGACGTGCTTGTTTTCTTCAGTGATGAGGCACGCTTCCATCTTTCAGAATCGGTAAATCAGCTGAACATGCGCTATTGGAGTCCTCATACCGTACTTCAGCAGCATCCCCTACATTCAGAATATGTAACTGTTTGCAGTATCACGAGTTGGAATAATTGGACCATGGTTTTTTGAAGAAAACGAATGGGCCATTTCAGTGATTTCTAGTCATTATGTACACATGATTGAGGAGTTCTTACCGAAACTCAACGAGATGAACGTGGGAGATGTATGGTTCCAGCAAGACGGTGCTACAGCACATACAGCTCTTGTGTCAATGACTGTTTTGCAGCAACACTTACCAGGACGTCTCATCTCTTTGAGAGACCATTTGCACTGGCTAGCACAATCGCCTGATTTAGCCCAATTTTCTTTGCCGATATCTAAAATCACTTTTACAACGATCATCCCTACACACTGGCTCACTTGAAATGCAACATTCGTCAAACTATAGCCAACATACCGTCGATGTGCTGGAAAGAGTTGAACGAAACTTCCGAATTCGATAAACGCAGTGTGTTGATAATAATGGACTTTATCTGCTTGATAATATTTTTAAAACAGTATGAACATAACCTTTCCATGTTGTACTTGATGCTGTTCAAAGAATTAAATACACTGGTGAAATAAATTAAGGAAATTTGCATATTTGATGTACAATCTCCAGAACTACTGGACAGATTTTAATAAAATTTGGTGTGAACATAGGTTGATATAATACAAACAAGATAAACATTCAACAATTATAATAGACACACATGTTCGTGTGTAATACTCGTGGGAGTCTGAAGGTCTCAAACAGCGGCTGCAGAAGGCACAAAAGAAATAGGTAAATAGGAGGTATGGTCTCCTTTTACAGGCATACAAGTCTCTCAGCGTGATGCCATACTTTAAATAAGGCAGTTTATCAGTGCCTGTGGCAATTGGTCCCACTCATTCCGCACTGCTGTTTTCAGTTCCTGGATGATTCTTCGAGGGGTACTGCGAGTTGCAATTGCCTTTCCCAGAGCGTCCCAGACATGGTGTATAGAGTTGAGTTTTAGAGACCTGGCGGCCAATCCATCCGGCAAATATCCTCACTCTCTAGAAATTCGTCGACCAGAAGAGTTCTATGTGGCCTCGCATTATCGTCCTGTAAGATGTACTCGGGCCCACTGCAGCCTGGAAAAGGCAAACAGCACACCAAGACCTCATCCCTATACTTCACACCAGTCACAGAGCCTCTGTCAAAGACGTGGAGAGGTCTGCGGTCATCCAACATGATCCTGCTCAGACCATTACACTGCCACCGTCATAATTGTTGATTTTGTGGATATTGGAGCATAAGTAGTGGGTCTCTGGCTCTCTCCATATAAAAGTGCAAGAAGAATCGGTGTTTAGGCTAAAACGAGACTCGTCGGTGAACAGAGCAGTTGCCCATTGCTCCGTACTCCAATCACTATGCTGCCTGCAGCATGCTAATGGGACTCTGCTGTCCGTAGACATGAGTGGGATGCAAACAGCCAGTCTTCTGGCAACAACCTTCTCTCATTCAGTCTTTTGGAAACAGTCACCCTTGTTACACGGGGTCCTGTCGCTGTATACGGGTGCCGAGAGGCCTGAGAAGCTGTAGCCTCTCTGTTATGCTTCGCTAAAATGGACAAATAGCTATCCTCTCTGGCCGTCATGGCACTTGGATGACCTTGCCCAGGCTTTCTCTCGATAGATCCAGTATCCTCGAACTGTTTCCATTGGTTACACAGGACGCTGGGCGTTAAATTAAACTCTCTGCATATCTGGACTTGCGATTGGCCTGCCTTTAGCCTCCTCACAATTCGCCACCTCATTCCATCATCTAAACGTCGGTGGTTACTCGTTTTTACTATTCCGATGTGAATTCAACTGATATCTGCAAGATGACACCAAGAAATTTGCCGAGGTGTGCTAGCGAACGAAATTCATGTTATCTTCCACGTGCTTATAAAGCCTGTTTTTCTGCTGTCTCTGCCTACACACATGTGTATGCTTACTATTCAAGATTTACTATACAAGATATGCATTTTATCTAGAAGCAGTGGTTTTTCCTTCAGTTCTTTTCATGTAATTCGATAAAATATGCAAATTCTCTTAATTTATTTCACCAGTGTATATATATATATATATGCATTACTTTTATTTTATTGAATTTCAAAATAAGCAAACTGCTCTGCCACACCCTGTAGTTATATTGCATATTTTAGTGAATTTGCTTTCAGAGCTCTGTAAGTTTCTGGAAATTTTTGTTTTCTCATTAAATGTGATCTGTTTTGAATATGTAGTTTCATCTATGTTATAAAGCCTTTTTATCTTTTAAGATTTTATAATTTTCTCCATCTGTTTTATTTTTCTTTCAAAAAATTATAAGATCATCTGTGTCAATAAACCACTGTGATATGTTCTCTATATCAGTCCTTTTTGTAATCTTATTATTTAAAATCAGTTCCTTTAGATGCTTTTCAATTTTACTTGCATTAAAGCAGTGATCATTTAAGCTCATTTTGTTCTCCTGCATTGATATTTCTAAGTCACTTTTATCAATATTTTGCAAAATTTATTTCCATCTTGAGTTGTAACCAAACTTGCTGTAATTAGTTTTTTAAAATAATAATAAAAATAATTATTTTTATTTAATATTTTTATACTTTGATTGTGTTATACTTTGATTGTTTGATAATGTTTGTATGATTATTTTGTATAAATGAAGAATGACTTTTCAGTATTTTGTTGACTGTTTTCTTGAAATTCATCTTCTGTTTCACAGAACTCAAGCAAGCTTATACTATTATGGAAGAAATGACTCAATCTTCATAGTGCCTGACATCAGTATGTGTCTTGTTGAAAGTAATTGTTAAAGTCGTTTATTGCCTGTCTTGTGCAACATCTGTAATATTCCAGTCCTTTTTTGTAAATTTTGATGTACAGTTATTTAATAAATTTTGTTTTAATGTGTGGTTTTTAAATGCAAGTTCTTTCTTATGTTTTGAATAACTGTGAAATAACAAAAAAAAAAAAAAAAAAAAATGTTATACGACCTGCTTGTAGATAGAAAAAAGTAGGATTATATGCTCGGTTGACACTTTAAAAAAAATTAATAATAAATGTATATTTTTTACTTGGGTTTTAATTTATGAGGAAAATATTGAGCTGATTTTGCAGTTTTAAGACCTTCAATGTTTGCATATAAATTAAGAGTTAAATTCATCAGCTTCTGGTAACATTTCAGTCTTCTGTTATCAGCAGTTTCTGGTAAGTATTGGTCAATGAATTCTATATATATTAATCAAAGCAATTTTAATTGTCAATGAATTCTATATATTTTTTAATCTATTCTTGCAGCCAACAGTTTATTATACCACAATCTTGAGAAATGGTGTTTTTATATCAAATTTTGCCTTATTTCTGGCATGTTGTATGATATGAGTGACAGAAACTGATAAGTTTCATAAGTTTTTTTCCTCTATAACAGTGGCTGCCAACCTGCGGTATGCGTACCGCTGGGGATTTGTGATGACTTCCAATTCAAATTCTTTGGCTCGACTTTCTCCTTTTCCTCAGAACTTGGATTCCAAAGAAGATCATGGCTGCTACAAAAAATCATTTATCCTTATAAATGGGGCATTTCATTAAGACAACAAGCCTCTATTTTCGTTTTTCAGATATTGTGAAAACTGTGCATACAAAACAAATACTAAAAGAAAATCTAGTATGTGCTAAAGCAGCGTTTCTTAAACTGTGGATCGCGACCCGCAAGTGGTCGCAGGACCTGCAGCAAGGGTCACCGAAAAATTTAGCAGTTTTGATATTTCTTTAACTTATAATAATTTTACAATTGCCAAATATTTTTACATAATATATCTGAAAATAGATAAAGATAAGACAATTTTTTTTTTTAATAATAGAAACATTTATTTTACTTGCTTTGCACTTGATGCCGTCATTTTGTCTGTTACTTATTTAAAATTTTCACATTGTTCTATGTCTTAAAATTAGAAATTAAAGTTAATGACCCTAAAACTGCAATAGTATATTACAGTACATGTGAAAAAATTGACAGTTTCACACACACACACCACACACACACACACGTGTGTTGGATTTGCACAGTGCTTATGGGCTCCCACAAAATTTTCGTATTATGGGGTCTTAAGGATCGCGAAAAAATCTCTGCGATAAAAAGAGGTTGTGACTGAAAAAAGTTTAAGAAGCCCTGCGCTAAAGTAAAAATGAATTTCTTTTACACTCATGTTATAGTTTTAAAATGTTAAAAGAATAATGGCCCAGATCATGTTTATACTCCACAGAAATTCACAAATTTCGAAGGTATACTTTCTAGCTATTGATTATCAGTTTTCATGTACATAAAACTTATGTATATAATTAAACAACTTATCAAATATCATAATTAAAAGAAAATACTAGTACTAACTTGTAGCACAACTTAAATTAGTTTTCTTATATAGCAGATTATTTTAACAAATCTTCTTAGAATTGTAGAATGTTTTTAATTTTCAAATTTACTATTTTAGGTAAATAGTTGTAATTTAATTTTAAAAATTGTTTTTAAATCTAAACAATTTGGTTTATCAAGCAATTCCAAAATTCACGGCAATGCTATTGTAATATATGTCTTATTAAGCTTCACGTTTTTAATCATTATTATATTTTAAAGTTATTTAACTTTCTTACAAATTCTGCATTTTAATATTAAAAATGTTTTAAATATTTATTTTGTTTACTAAGTACTCTTTGTTTACTAACTGATAAACTTAAGCATGTGTTTAATTTATAATGCACAATGAATAATGATTGATAATTATGAGCATCTGCAGCATTGTCATACTTAATTGAAAAATTTCAAACTTATGTTCATATGTTGGGATTTTTAATTTCCTCCTCATCCACATCTTTTTCATATACTGTTTGTTCTCTTGTATTCAAGTTTTCATGAATGTAGAGTTTGTGTACTGTCTTATTGTATCCATGCCAATATATATTTAAATGACAACATCTGCAAACTTTTGCATGGTAACTCTAGTTAACAGAAGATGTACTTAACGCCTTGGTACAGATTAATCTTCAATATGCGGTTTATTTTCCAATTTCGTTTCAGGCTTCAGTGAAATTATTTCTAAACAAAGATGATCGCTAAATCACGCCAATAATTTCTATTTTCTCTAATATATTGTTCAATTCATAGCATCTCATTAGACTAATTTCAAGAGCTCTTCATACCACTATCGATCAAGCAGTATAAAGTCCTTATTTTGACATGTCCAAATCTCGATGTACTGGTTGGTTGCAAGTTTTTGTGATTTCCTTTGTGTGTAATGAGGATATGAGCCTGTTTTCCTTAAAATTTCCTCCTCTAAGACATCCCTTACCATAGGCAAAGAGCCTTCCTTCATTTCACCATAATTCAAATAAATAAAACATATCAAGAACTCTTCCTTTTTCGTTACATATTCAATATGTGAGTAATACATATTTTCTGCATAAAAAAACTTCTCCGTGTGTGGTAATGCATTTTTTTAAAATTTATCATTTAAAAATACTAATACAAAATTTTATACATTGGTAATTTTTATGTCGTATCTCTTTGCATATCCATTTAAGAATAGAAAAGTAAGCATAGAAATTAACTCGATCTCGTCGGAATCTATCCAGAAGTTTTTTTCAGTCATAAGGGTTAATGTTAAAATATGGATTAATTACGTCTAATTTACTTAATATGCTAATTCCAGGATGTGAATTCCATATTTCAAGCATTTAACTTTATGGGCTTCTTTATGCATTATTCGGAAGATTTTTTCTTTTAGAAAAGTAAAGGAACATTTGAAACCAAAAATTCTAAATAAATAAATTTTTGCATTATTTTTTATTTATTTTTCTTTATGTGGTAAAAAAATGTTGTACACCAAGAATAAGATAACATAGTAATTATTGGACATGGATTATTGAGAGGAGATATATTAATTTGTAGCATAGTTTGTATTATCCTTCTATTCTAGATAAGCTTTAGAAAAATCTTAGCATAACAATTTTAATTTCTTTTAAATTTATGATTATACGTAAGTAATTTATAGCATACAATAATATTGTTGTAACCTATTTCATGTTAAGCATTTAGTTACTTTTATGCTGTTTAATTATACTCACAGATATTTACGATTACTTAAATTAGCAAAAGAAATAATTTCTAGTACACTTTTAACATACTTTGGCGATGTATAATCGTGTGCACACCGCTTAACCATATATAATTTTCCAGCCTAGTTCAAATTCCTTTACTGTTAGGATCAAACAAATATATTAAATTCATAACATTAACAGATGTAATTTATAAGAAATATAATTCATATGCCTTTATAATTACCTAAATTATAACACTATTTGCTCTAGTAGTTTAATTAATAGAAGATATTCCTAATGCCATATTTATGTCTTTTATTTTCGTTGCTAACTCTTGCATTTACTGTTTAGATAACTATATTTGGCTTCGAAAAGTAAAGCTTAGTGGTAACCCTCAGCTTTTTGAAAAGGTCTTAATGGATGTTTTCTTGAAGTGTGAAGACCCCCTGTAGTGTCTGAGGGAAGAAGAAAATTTCTTTCGCATTACGAGGTCTTTAAATTCCCCGGGCGAATGGTTCATTCCTTTTGATACGCGCAGTTGGGCTATACCTAACATTTGATTTTAATCCAAAAGTATTGCAAAAAGCACGAGTAATTCCAATAAGAATATCTTCATATTTTTTTGGCTAAATATCTATTATTTTTAAAGCAAAACTTATTATCAAGAATAGTGCCTAAATAATTTCATTCACTGTTTATAGTAAAATATTGAAATGCAGTTATTAGCTTGCACAGCTGGCATGCTTTCTTTCAACTATCTTAATTATAGATTTATTAAGTTTAAACTCCAAATTAATTTTCAGATTTCTCCCTAGACTAATCTGAAACCTTATTGAGGGTGTTCTGAGCAAGGTTATAAAGAGTATTGGGACACTTTCCTTGAAAGCGTATCAGAATATCATCAGCAAAAGTTAATTGTTTTACAGCCCGGACGATCTGATAGTTTAGTGAGATCAGTTATAATTAAATTCTACAGTAACGGTTCGGAAACATACAGGCTTGAGGACAATCTATTTCCATAGTGAGGGAAATAGGAGCTTGGCCGCGAAAAGCACTGCAGATCTGTCATGCAGAAAATCTTTTAATAACACCACTGGGAAGATCCAGCTAGCATTGAAAGATCCGGAGATTTAATGCATGATTATTAAAAATTAACTTCTTAATCACTGTAAACATACATACAAACAGCCTATAAGCTGTTTAAAAAGTATTTAAAATGATATTGTGTAATATAACGCTATTTTGCGATTTCGCAAAAATTTCAAAATACTGCTTTTTAAGCTCGCAGATGCTCGATTCTTGGAGCGAGGATGTAAAATAATAAACAGATACATACGTCATTTTAATTTGCAATATCTATAAATTTTTAAATTTCACTCACTCGTCATATTTTTTTTATTTTCCGTTACCAATATTAACATATTTGTTTTCAGTCACATGTTCATGGAGATACTTTATACTAGTACGAGCTAAATATGGCAGCGATATTTAAAGTCGTTCTATTCATTCAAAAGTAAATAAGTTTAAAGAATTGTTTGCTGAAGGGTTTTACATTAGTAAATGGTCTTACGGCCGATGAATACATGTTATGTATTGCTGTAAATACGGTGTTGCAAAAAGTTTCAGGATTTTTAATTATTCGTAGTATTTTCATTATCATTAAAATTTGACACGAATAGTGCATCAGGAAATCTGTAAAAGGAGCTAATTATTTCATATTGTGATGTAAATCTTATTCGAAGATTTTGAAGATAATAGATTTTATTAATTTTATTCGTGCATGTCAAAAAATAAAAATAAGCTCAGTAACGAATTTTTGTACTCAGAATAT